GGTCCCAAGTCCTGGAACCCAAAAGCAAACAGTCTCGAGCTCTGATGTCCATGGACAGGAGAGAAGAGTGTGTCCCAGCTCCAGTGGATAGAGAGAGATTCACCCTTTTCCTCTGTCTTTTGTTCTCTCTGGGCCCCCAGTGGATTGGATGGTTCCTGTCCACACTGAAGGCAAGTCTTTCCCACATGGTCCACTCAGACTTTCATACTCATCTCTGCTGGAAACAGCCTTGTGGACACACCTAAAAAGATAGCTTTATCAGGTTTCTCAGCATTTCTTAATCTCATCAAGTTGACACCTAGAATTAACCTTCACAAGTGCTTTCTGCAAACCTGTCCCTCCGTCCCTGCTATCAGCACCTGGAAGATGCAAAATGGAGACCAAAGAGGGGACTCTAGGCACAGGGTTTCCTGTAGAGCATGCATAAAGCAAATGTACTTCACAGGGCCTGGTTTTCCAAAGCCTTGCAATTTCAAATATTGACCTTGCAGAGGACAGGAAATTTTCCCTAGGCTATATAGTCTCTGTTGTAAGATAAAGAATTGTAATGCAGCAAGGTTGCTGGCTCAAAGACACACAGGGTACTGATTGATATGTAAAGATACCGGAAAATTGCTGTAAAAAGAGAAAGTTTGCTAAAATCAAGGTTTGTTGGAAATTGTATTATAGAATGTCACCTTACTGGGCCGGCCTGGTGGCGCACTGCTACAGTGCACCGCTTGGGAGCGTGGTGGCGCTCCCGCCGAGGGTTTGGATCCCACATGCAGACCGGTTCCCGCTCACTGGCTGAGCGAGGGGCGGGCGCAGCGCCGAGGGTTGCGATCCTGTTGCTGGTCCCGGTCCGGTGCAGGCGCGACACTGAGGGTTGCGGTCCGTTGCCGGACACGAAAAAGACAAAAAGGAAAAAAAAAAAAAAGAATGTCACCTTACTGAATGTTACCAGCTTCTATTGCTAAACTTTTTAAACTGTACTTAGCAAAACCCACCTATGTTCTCTTCCTCTAACTTCCTGGTCTGGAGAATAAATGTGGGAAGAGAACCCCAGTTCATGGTTAATTTCCCAAATGGAAGGAATGCCTCTATATTGAAGGTTTTGGGAGATTAACCCCCTTTTGAGGCCTCTCACTGCTCAGAAGAGATGGGCTTTGAGTAATCTTTGGCAGCTCTGTCACCCAGGGGAAAAGGGGTGACAAATCTGTAGGAGGCAAAGCAACAGTTTCCAGTCTCAGCAAAGATTCCTCTGCACAGTGGTGGAAAAGAAGCATCAGAGCTACAGCACTAGAAGGGACCCTGTGGACTAAGACAATGGGAATGAACTACTGGTGTAGCAGATGACTAGTAGAGTCCTTTGTCACTGCAAGACTTAGGTATACTTGCTGTGGGGGAAGCCCCAGCAATGACAGAAAGTGGATCCACTACCCTCATCTCAGCCAGATGAGGGGCTAGGAATCAAATCTAGGTTATTGGAAAGAAAGTAAAGGACAGGCTTCCTGCACATGGAGCTTGTGGGGTGAGATTTACAAGGACCACACAGCAAAAGGAGGGACAGAGACTTATTAAGTTGGATGGGAGAAATGATTGCCTGTGGCATGTGACTATAATTACCTGGAAATATAATTACTTGGCCTAAGCATTATTAAATATTTCAAGGTATTTGGACTTTTTCTTTTTCTTTTTTTTTTTTTTTTTTTTTTTTTTTTTTTGTGTCCGGCAACGGATCGCAACCCTCAGTGTCGCCCCCGTACCGGACCGGGACCGGCAACGGGATCGCAACCCTCAGCGTTGCTCCCGCCCCTCGCTCAGCCAGTGAGCGGGAACCGGTCTGTATGTGGGATCCGAGCCCTCGGCGGGAGCGCCGCCACACTTCCCAAGCGGCGCACTATCGCAGTGCGCCACCGGGCCGGCCCGGTATTTGGACTTTTTCTTAAAAATGGTCTTCAGAGGTAGGAATGATAGGAAAATTAATTTGCGTAAATTTCAAATTAAGCAAAATGAAAGTAATCTGTCAGATAAAATTCATCATCTAGGCTGGAAACAAAATTTAGTTAAGAAGTGGAAGTTTCATCTCAGTGAAAAAAGTAAAAGAAAGCATTTCCAATAAACTACTCAACACAAGATTAACCAGATTAAAGGAAAACTCTACAGGAAATTTTAATTTGGAGATTTTCTTCCCTTCTGCTTTATTTCTGACAGAGATGATCACCAGGATGGTAATGAGATGCTTATTCCAGGCTAATTTAGATTCACTGTAATAATAACAACATTAATAATAAATATCATTATAGGTTCTAATCTTCAGTGTTATTTTAAAGGCAGCATCAGATCCTGAAGGCAAACCCACTCATTTTGGTGCTGTATTTAGTAGGCTAAATTCTATCATGATGATATTGGGTTGTCTATTTAAATAAGTTTAACAAACATACACACATACATGCACACACAAATTTTCCTGCCCTGAGAGACAAGCAAATTGAATTTATATCTACTTTCTCTGCACAAATTGAAGTGGAAAAGTGAAGCATTATTCTCAGCATATATTGTCCATCAGGGTTGCAAACTTAAACAATTACATATGTGCCGGTGAGTCGCATTGATGGTTTATGCACTAGAGACCACCCCCCTCCCCCACACACACCCCATCTAAAGAAACAACACTGACTATCTCTAGCAGATGGTGCTCCTCAGAGGGGATTCAGATTTCCAATGTAAAAATTCTTAACTTTTACGTGTTGGCAACTAGCTAAAAAATGTTAAAAGCACTCTGCTGGCCAAATCAAGCACATCTTCCATGAGCTGTCGTTTGTGGCCTCAGCTACGGATTATAAGATAGTAACATTAACTAAAAATTCAGAATGTTTAGATGCAATATTTTTCAAGAGTGTGTGTGTGTATGACTGTGTAAGAGGGCAGGTGGCAGTGTGTATAAGGGTGAAGAAATAGAGGAAGATAAACAGAAACAAGTGATTTCGCTCTTACACCAAAGCCCTTCAGAATCTATATTCATCTCTGTTCTATTTCTGCCTGGCTATAAATCCAAGCCCCCCAAGAAGCCCAGCACATAAATTTTATTTGGAATACAGCGTTGGCTGTGCCTTGATACCTGGCCCCTGTGGAGTGTGGGTCAGGGAGTGACCATCTTATTCTACCTGCCACTTTCCCTTTGAGTGACCTCTCAGTTGTGACACTAATCTTCAAAGCTCTTCGCAAGAACCCACCCTCCTAGAATCTTAGCTCAAGAAAACCCACATGGAGATGGTCACAGAGTTATGTCATCCTCCCCTAGGGAGAATTCTCTTTCCTTGGGCAATCAGAAAAGCCTTTGATCAGTACTTGATAACTTAGGTTACCGGACTAGAAAACAAGCAAGATGCCTAGGGTGCAAAATTTAAGGAGACTAGAATATTATTATGTTATCAAAAAGGAATGAAGTACTGATTCATGGTGCAACACAGATGAGCCTCAAAAACATACTAAGTGGAAGAAGTTAGTGGCAAAAGACCATATATTATAACTCCGTTTATATGAAATGTCCAGAATAGATAAATCTATTGAGATAGAAAGTAGTTTGGTGGTTGCTTAAGACTGTGAGTTCTGGGCGCAAGGGGTGCCAATGGAGAATGGCTGCTAATGGGTACAAGGGTTCTTTTGGGGGTGATGGAAAAGCTCTAAAATTGATTGTGATGATAGCTGCACAACTCTGTGAATAGACTAAAAATCACAGAATTGTACACCCTGCATAGGTGAATTGTATGGTATGTGAATTATATCTCAATGAAGCTGTTATAAAAATAAATGAATAACAGAGACATAGACCCCTCAACTGGAAGAAGCTGTTTTTGGACCTGAAAATTTTTTTTTTAAGAGGCACCACTCTCAGAAGCATAGCCTGCACTTGCATCATCCTAAGAGTGGTGTTGCCTCACCCTGGTACAGACTGTGAATGGTTATTTAATCCTTAGTTCAGATTCGGATTGAACCAGTGTTAACCAAGCATCCTCCACTGACCCACCATTTTTCTTTTTCCTACACACCTACATTCACTAATTCACTCTACAAAGGAGGACCCATACTATGCCAGACCTCAGCTACATAGATAAAAATAAGACCCTTGATCTCAGGAAATTTGGAGTGTGGTACAATGTATGTGTGTGTGTACGTGCCAGGGGTGGTGGTGTCTTAGCCTTGTTTTGTGTCATAAACATCTCTGAACCATGTAGTAGATTGAATTATGTCCCCCCAAAATTCTGAAGTCTGAATTTTGTCCCCCATGTTTCATATATTAGAAGCTTAATCCCCACTGTAACTGTTGAGGGTAGGAAATCCTATTATGGCAATTGAAAGGTGAAGATTTGAAGAGGTGATTGGATTGTAGGACTGCGCAGTAGTGAATGGACTAAAAATGGTGGTCAGAGGCGTGGTGTGGAGGGCTTTAAAAGGAGAGTGAATGAGGAAGTTGGCTTCTTGCTCTCTCTTGCTCTCTCTGCTTCCACTAGGCGTGGTGTGGAGGGCCTTAAAAGGAGAGTGAATGAGGAAGTTGGCTTCTTGCTCTCTCTTGCTCTCTCTGCTTCCACTATCTTGCAATGAGAGACCCCCGGGTCACGGTCGCCACCACCAGTTGGACTTTGGACCTCCCAACCTCAGAAACTGTAAGCGACAAATTTCGTTTTCTTTATAAATCACCCAGTTTCAGGTATTTTGTTATAAGCAACAGAAATGGACTGATACAGACCACTTCTCAGATTCTTTTTTAAATAATGCATATTGTGGGCCAGCCCGTGGCTCACTCGGGAGAGTGTGCTGCTGATAACACCAAGGCCAGGGGTTCGGATCCTATATAGGGATGGCCGGTTGGCTCACTGGCTGAGCGTGGTGTTGACAACACCAAGCTAAGGGCTGAGATCCCCTTACTGGTCATCTTTTTAAAATAAATAAATAAATAATAAAAAAATAAATCATGCATATTGTAAGCCTAGAAAAACCACATTAGAGAAAAATATTCCAAAATATGTTGAGTTTATTTGGGGATAGAAAATAGGATTACAATCCAGAATGTGTACCATGGCAAGCCATAGATGCATTCAGTGAGGGAAGGTAAGAGAAAGCTGTTATTGGCAAAAAGGGAGAGGTTCACACAAGCTGCTTGGAAACAAAGTTCATTGGTTTCAGAGGCTCAAAGTCAGATTTATTGTCAGCTCACTGGCTGAGATGTCATTATTGGACAAGACCTTCTTGGAGCATCCTATCTGAATTACTGCAGTTCTAAAGAACATGTAATCATAAATCTTGCCACAGAAACATATGCACACCTGCATAGCAGGAGATGCATGAAAGACGGTGAAGGGATTTCTGATGGGTTTTTCGAAGACCCTTGGAAATAGTTCTTAGACAAGCAAGCATGACTCTCACCCCTCCCCACTTTGTGCATTTCCTGGCTGTATTTTGTCTAGGTCCCAAAGAAAGTGATTTTGTCAACTTTCACATTTCCCCCTTTTGATCAAGTTCTTTTTCCAAAAGCATCACTGATCAATTAGTCTTTTGTCAGGTTTTAAGTGTCCCCTGATGCTGGGATGGACATGGCCCAGTTAGTTGGTCTGCTCTCACATTGGGAGGGGTGATGAACAGCTAGAGGTAGATGTCAAGACCCTTTTAGCTACATCTGGCAACAAGAAAGCCAGAAGCAGGAGCTCTCTGGCCTGGGTTGTCTGGAGTTCATCTGTTTCATATGCATTGGTTATCATCTCAAAGTGCTGGGCCAACATCATTTTGTCAGGAGATGCATTTCTGCAGAGATTTGATAGACAACAAGTACACAGTTTAAAAAGAAAAATACAAAGCAAAGATAACAATATGTCAATTTCAATTTGTATGAGAATTTTAAGCCATGAACCTAGACTTAAATGCAGCCAACTAAATACATCAAATGATAACCTGGTGAGACTTGTAGCCGTGTGGCTTATCCCTTTATTTTATACAACTGAGTCTCAACTTCCTCAGAGGAGTTTATCTAGGTACAGCATGTAGTATTAACAATAGCGCAGACACCACTTTGCTCGACTATTAGATAACCAAGAACAATTTTATTATCTAAGACTACCCAGGCAAGAGAAGCTAACAAGTACTGTTGCACAGTGAAGTCTGCAAGAATTCCTAGGGTAGCAGCTAAATTTCTTGTTTCTTCATTAGTGGCTATCCATACCATGGTACAAAATACGTGCCGAAGGAAGAAAATTCAGAATCCCATAATTCACCAGGTAACTCACGCTTGACCCTTTGATGTAGTGAAAGGGGGCTAGTCCAGTGATTATTCCAAGGATCATCTTTGACCTATTACATATTGATAACAGAACAATTGAATATCCCAATCCACATTGGCCTCCTGTTGTCCAGGTGTCTAAACATCTGGAGGCCCAAATTGAGGTATCCCATCCACAAAGGTAAATACACCTGATAGGAGCACAGACAATTCTTTTATCTGTACATTTTCTGTATATAATGGAATTAAACCAGGGGTCAGTTATATTACAACATATTTGCTAATGATGTCTCTTTGCAGAATTGGTTCCAGTAACTTTTTTTACATTATGTTAGGAAGACCCAAGGAACATTTTAAGAGGGATCACCCATTACACATTTTTTAGAGTCCAACTAGGAGACTATTATTTTGAGTAGGTAAGACAGAGGATGGAAGTTGAAGGTAGATGAGAAAAATTTAACCCTATAAGAGGATCCAGGTATACAATCTGTACAGGTTGTTGGACATGGAATGTTGGTGAAGTTTGTTATAGATTGAACTCGGTCACTAGAGTCATACACAGGTCAAGGTTTCTGATGACAGATTGAACAATCAGCAAGGTTTCCCACTCTGGTGAGACTGGAAAGGGCAGATAATGGCATTGTCTTACAGTGTGATTAATAACTACTATACTCTTGAATTTGAGATGAGGGATCTCAACAACTGTAATGAGGTATGAAAATATTTGTGATTTCCATGATGATAAAGTCACAGGTAGAGTTAAACATTCAACATTAAATTTCAACTAGGAGTTAGTGAAAACTTCCCATTCAAGAACCTAGGGACCTCTCGGGGTCTGTGGGCTGAAGGTTAAGAAACCTCTGGTAGTGGGGAGACTGTGTGACAGGCTGTGCAAACATAGCATGGGAGAAGTATTGTTACCGAAACCCCAAAGGTCCATTTTCTCACCGCTCAATAGCCAATAATTAAGAGACAAGTGTTGGTGTAAGGAAAGGCAGCCTTTAATCAGAAAGCCGGAAGCCTGGGGAAATGGTGGACTCATGTCTCCAAGACCCTCTCTACTTTTTCCAGACTTGTCAAAGGGTTTTATAGGGACAGGTGGTATGGGGGCTGATTCATGGTGACCTAAGCGGGGACGTGCAGGCATAATCATAAAACTGCAGATAAACATCAAAGAACTTATCTTGTGGGAGTTGATTCATGGTGACCATCCTCTACGATGTCAAATCACAGACTCAGTTCCTGTTAACCTCAGAAAGGTCTAGTTAGTAAGCTAGTAATGAATGACCATCTGGGTTAATAATTTCTTCTATAATTATTCTGTGTACAATGTGAGCAAAAGTCATTATGTTCTAGCAATTATGTGAACAAGAGTCATTATATTCTAATGTCCAGCCGCAAGCTATGCATTTCAGGTTACAAGAGTAAGAAAAAAACCTTTTTAATTTCGAAGTTTAACAAAAAGGTGTAACTTCTGTGCAGCCTGTTACAGTATGGTGTGGGGTGAAGAGCCAGCTCCTGGTTAGCGAGCTGATCTAGCCCTTGCCCTGTATGACCTGGGCAAGTTTTTTGAGCCTGTTTCCTCGAGCATAAAGAGAAGTTAGTGATAATGACCATCTCACAGGGTTGTCGTGAGGATGAGCTAAGAAAACACACATAAAAAACACTTAGCACAGTGCCTGGTACACAACAGTGGTTAAATACGAGCTTTTGGTGTCCCTAAGGGCAGTTTTGGTTCACAGAAATAGCCATCCAGGCATTCTGAGTTTTTATTTTCCTAAATTACTATTCAATTTTAGCAAAAGCACAAATTTAAAAACTTGGTTTTTTGTTAATGTTATACAGTCTACTTAAGAATCTTATTTTGTAAGTCTAGAAAATTGTAACTATCACCTTTAAAAGGCTTTTGAATAATACTTGTTCCTATTTACAAACTTAACACTTTCAAATATTTTAAACTGCATTTATAAATACAATCAGGTAGATTTCCCTTTTTAAATGCTCTAATAGTCTTAACTGCTTGTTACTTAACATGTGGCTCCAGAACCTGGGCTTCATCTAGGCACTTTCCAGGAATGCGAAACCTTGGGCCCCACCCTGGACCTACTGAAGCAGAATCTGCATTTTCACAAGATCGCCAATGATTAAAAGGAAATGCCCAGGGGCCGGCCCAGTGGCGCAGTGCTACAGTGTGCCGCTTGGGAGCGCCGGCGGCACTCCCACTGAGGGTTCGGATCCCACATACAGACTGGCTGCTCACTGGCTGAGCGAGGTGCGGGCGCAACACGGAGGGTTGCAATCCCGTTGCTGGTCCTGGTCCGGTACGGGCGCGACACTGAGGGTTGCGATCCGTTGCCGGTCACGAAAAAAGACAAAAAAAAAGGGAAAAAAAAAAAAAAAGGAAATGCCCAAAGTATTTTATCAACTTTTATAAAGACTGTATGTGAAACTTACATCCTCTCAAATGTTCCAACAGTCTACATAAACAATACATTTCACCTATCCTTATATGTTTAAATCAATTACTCGAACATACATTTTGAATTGGCACTAGAAGGCTGTTCTATTAATCCAATGGGACAAATTTTCTAAAACGTTACAAGTACACAAAATATCAAATATGCACAAATTCTTTCTCATCCCCAATAATATTAAATACTATAATTTCAAATTAACTCGAAGCTTTTAATACTCAGTGTTAATTAATTCTGGGTTTTGAGAGATATTTATCTACTAAAAACAAACTATTTTATCATCCCTCATAATTTAGTTCACTGGGTAATTCTATCAACTATTTAAAGAACTAATCCCAATCCTATATAAGTTCTTTCATAAAATAGAACAAGGAATATTTCCAAACTCATTTTTATGAGGCCACTATTACCTTGATAAAGACATCAAAGGAAAAGAAAACTACAGACAAATGTCTCTCATGAACTTAGATGCAAAAATTCTTAACAAACTATTAGCAAACTGAATCCATCAATTTATCAGTATAAAAGAATTATGCACTGTGACCAATGGAGATTTATCTCACATAATTTTGGAGGTGTTCTTCCCGTGTAATTTTTGGGACCATCCTACCCTTATATAACAATAATGTTAATTGGATGCTGGATGTCTGTCATGCATATATCTTTGTCTAGTCAGTCAAAATTTTTATGTAAAGTCATTGCACGGACAGGAAACTATTATTATTATTATTAGTGTAACGAGAAGCAGAAATATGTACAAGGTGCAAAGGATGTTGAAAGGAGTACAAGTTGGTGTGGGAGAATTAGGGATTCGTGCTGATTCTTTAACAGATATAATTTTGTGTCTGAGAAGAAGACAGATGTAATGGAACATTCCGGAAGGAGAGGGAATGAAATGCATAAAGTGTACTTCTGTTTCTATTCTGATAGAAAAGGAGTGGACAAGAAATGAAAAGGAGAGAAATTATCCCAGGGTCAAAAAAAAAAACCCACAAAAACAAGAACAACCTAAGGAGGCTTTTCCTTTAAGACAATGTATGTAACAATGAATATCAAGCCCTTACCCAGCTCTGTGCTTTACTCTGGTAGGTGCTTAATAAAGTTAGTTTCTCTTTCCTTTGGGGAGAATAATTTTTAAATAACCATATCATACAGTAATTACAGTTTACCTTTATTTCGTCTTTAATTAGAAACTCAGGATCAGAATTAGGTTCTCTTTCACTACCTTGCAAATAAGCAGCACATCTGGCCAGCTCCAAACGGTTTGGTAAAGTTCATAAATATTTTGTTGGCTGGACTAAATGTGGTTATTTTCATTCTCTCTCTGATCATTTTCATTTCCTCCCATGAAATGTCATGAGCTTCCTCTGGGGTAAACATGATGAGAGCTAGTGGGATGGATTAAGACCATTATCATCTGCAGCCATTTATGTTAAAATGAACATTGCGACAGTCAGCCATACCATATACGAGTACACTGAGAACAGTTCAAGACTACAGAGAACTGAAAGAAAATGCCTCTGTGCAGTTAGCAATCCAGTTTAAAAATGCAGAACAATGCACATAGGTAACACATGACTCTAAATAGCAACCATTTACTGAGCAACTACTATGGGACATACGTTGTGCATGCGCACACACACGCACAGTTTAATTCTCACTAAAATCTGGGAGAATTTAGCGTTAGGTACCTCTCCTCCCCCTTTAACCTGAGAGAAAACTGAGGCATGAGGAAATTAAGTGACTCCCTAAGGTCACCCACCTGGGAAGTGGTTGGACCCGGTTATGAATCCAGGTAGAGAGAGGTCCCAGGACAGAAACAGCTCCAGTGAATGGCTGTAGTTAAGTTTTAAGGACCGAGAGGTGTATATTTCATTTTTCTGCGGCCTCGCATAAGTTATTTCATTTCATACCGTCCTCATTTTCCTTATCTGTAAAATGGCTCCTTCTTTGTGTCCTTCTGTGAGTGAATGCGACGGTGCACGCGAAGCCCCAAAGCACATTCCGAGTGGATAATAAAGGCTCAGTAAAGTCAACATGTGAATTAAACTCACGTCACTAGTGATCCTCAGAGGAGATTCAGGTCCCTCCAATCCCAGGATCTGCGCTGACCGGAGACCTCCCCGTTTTTATTAACACGAACAAACAAACCCCTGAAATACAAAGGAAACGCAAAGGCGGCCTGGACAGTCCCACTACAGCTGAGCGACCACCTGCCACGCTCTTCGCCTTCTTTCCATGCAGCCTCCCCAGGGTGCTTGCTCTTTGGCATGCGAGAGGCGCACGGGCCTTGAAAACACAGAAAGGAAAAGCAAGAGCTCTCAAGGAGTGGCCTTTTCCCTGGGTCTAGGTAGTCACACACCAAGTCCCCTCCCCACCGGGGACCTCGGTGATAGAAAGACGGTGCGCATCTTCCCCCCTCCTCCCCCATTCGGTCACCGCAACAAGCACGCCTGTACACTGGGGAGGGGAGAGGGGACCTCGCCGCGGGGCGGGGCGCGGCGGTCGGGAGCCGGGGCCGGGGCGG